GTAAACTCTAAATGTATTACCTCTGAAACGAATCTTGACCCACTATCAGCACCCACAATGGTTGGGATTGCACATACGAAAATGGAAACACGGAAGATCCCATATAATTACGCGAGGGCAAATCAGGCAAGCCCACACCAAAAACATTCAAAAAAGGACTTATGAGTAAGCAATTACACCTAAAATGGAGTTGCCAATCAAACAAAAAATCTGCAGGACCAAACGGAACACAATTCACGAATTAAGGACTTTCGGATAAATTTCCCTTTAAATAATTCAAAACAAAATCACTAAAAGCAGCAAAAAGTCAAAAAAGCCAACTATTTTTATTTATTTATTATTGTTATTTCTAGACTTATTTCAAAATTTAATTTTTTTTACTTTTCTAATCCGTCTAGTTAAGTAGAATCTAAAAGTGTAAGATTTTTTTAAAATTTAAAAAAAAAAAACAATCCTTATTGTTTATCAAGATTCACACTACCCAACAACTGTACGAAGAACATAACTATAGCACCCTTTCTTTGCCAAGTTTGGAGATCCAATTTTAGTCAATGGGCTGTTTTACATATCCAAAAGGCTAATTCAAATTTGTTTGTGGGAGACACAAGATACTAGTCCCCCACACATAAACAATGGGGGTGGTCCAAAGAGCAACACAAGTATAAGAACAAAGTGGTCACGCCATAAATTGCTCCATCTAACATTCCTCCATGGGGTGAACCTCACTTGAAAGAGATATATTGTCAATATTTACTGTCCCTTGTGCTTCACATGCATGTTTGCAGCATAAGGGATTAATTGATTATCTTCTAGCTAGCTATCATCCCACATTGTACTAAAATTGAAAAAAAATTTTAGTCTGTTTTATTTTTTTGCTCGATTTTCATTCAGTCTCTAATATTTCAATTGCAACAAGTACTTTGATTTTAGTTTGTATTTGAATATGATTCTCTTGTTACTCATCATTGATTTAATTTTTGAATTATTACTTTAAATAACATCATACATTTGATTAATTAATAGAGTTTGTGTCATGATATGAAATAAATAACATTTTTTTTTTTGAAATTGATTAAAAAAAGTGTGTTTTTTGTCATTTTATATTTTTAACTGTCCAACCGGCTCAAACCATTAATTTTAAATTGTTAAAATATTCAACTAACCCATCGATTTTGAGAATGAGTGAGTTGGTGACAATTCACAAAAATCTAAATTTGTCAAAAATAGCACAATTGATGATTTCTCTTAAAACCAACTCAAACCAACCCGGGCAAACCCCCAGAGCCCACCATGTGAGCACCACCCAAGTAATCCACATAGTTGGATCACTTTTAAATAATGGGAAATTACCCATAAGTTCCATGGGAAACATGTGATCTCCATTTAATCCCATAACTTTTTCACTACACCCAAAAGTCCTTTCCTCTCTCTCTCTGCTTTTTGCTTCCCTTCCTCTCTCGTTTTTTTTTCTACATTTTTCTGTCACCGTGTTTGTCATGGAAGAGGACCACCGGTGATCATATCTTTCTCCATTGATCGGGGTTCATTGATAACCACCAAGCATTGAAATCAACTCCGACGAAAAAGATGATATATTTTTCGACGAAGAAGATGAATGGATCTACTTAGATCTGATATAGATCTACTCAGATCTACATCAGATCTGAGTAGATCTACACAGATTTGGTTAGACATCCGTCTTTCCCATTCGATCTCTTTTTTTTTTTTTCTCTCTCTCTGCTATACACTTCTGTTTTTATGTTCTAATGGAGAAAATTTTCGAATTCTGAACAAGCAGTTTTCGAGTTTTAGTTACAGGCGGTGAAACTGTAAAATTTTTCAGTTTCAAATTTTTTTTTTGGTGCTGGAATGAATCATGGTTTAAAACTGTAAAATTTTGCAGTTTTATAACATTCTTTAGAACTGTAAAATTTTACAGTTTCATAACATGTCTTTTAATTTTTTTTTTCCTGCAATATTCTAGACATTCCGGTGAGTCTCCGGCGACCGTTAAACGGAAGTCCGACGGTAGTAAGATGTGAACAGTGTCTATAAATTAAAAAAAAAAAAAAAGATTTTTTGGTAACAATTAAAAATGTGTTGGACTAATTGGTGCAAGTATTTTGTTTTGGGATTAGTTGGGTTTTGAACTTGTTACATGGGACTTATCAGTAAGTTCCCCTTAAATAAATAATGGCCTTTGTGCTTTGCTACTTTTTTTTCATTATGGGCCATGAAGATATTGGGGTTTGGTGGCTTAAATGGACTGGACTATAAAAGCCCATTGGATGGACGAACCTGTCAAAGTGTCAACTAACTAGTATTCATTCTTCAGTATAGACATATGTCCTCATTAACATATGCTCAAAACAAGTAAATATAAAAAAAATTAATTACAAGCATTACTATATCTATTGAATTTGAACTCACTTGAATTGTTTGAATTTATGTATGTCGGTCATTCGACAGGATATGAGTCATCTAAGCGGATGTCGGTTGACACATCGGTAAACAAGGGTAACAGCCATGATTGATAAGGGTGACAACTATAGTTAACAAAGATGACGCGAATCATCCTGGCAATTTTCTTGCCGATTATCCAGCCGAACATCCAACTTATATAATTCGAGCGATTCATACAAGTTCAAATATGATGAATCAATCATTTTTATTTTAATTAATTCAAAAAAAAATAGTTAAACATCCTTTTTTAAAGTCATTGGGTTGTTATTTACTTTAAGACACTGTAATTATTACTTGTTTTCCCATCCGTATTGCCACATTTTGTTGCATAAAGAGTTATTGGGACTCACTAGGGAATGAACATAACAATAAAATGATCTTATTTGCTCAAAAAATAAAATGATTTTATGAAGCAATCCAATTCAAAAATACAAACAAGGATGCATAGAAAGGGAGGTAATTTTGATTCTCACATAAATCTATTTTTTAATGGAAAGAGATTCTCTCAATCTACTTTACTCAATTGGACAGATTACATGCGTCTTATTTTGATTATTCAAATTAATTGTCTTGTGTATTTTTAAAATATTTTTTTAATAATTATAAATATATAAAATTATTATAAAAATTAGATTTACACATTATCTAAAAAAATATAATAAAATCATATAATTATGAATATTGAATCAATTTACATTTTTATAAATAATTTACCTAAAATTCACAAAATAAATGACTTAAATCATTAAAAATAAAATTCCCCAAAATCAAGGGTCAGATTTATTTTCAGTGTTGCTATAAATCTATAAATTATACTTATAATTTATCTAAAATTTTTAATATGTACATATGGATCATACAATGCATGCCTTCAATCTCCATTGCACACATGTGTTCTGGGCAAATAAATTTGGACTTATTTTCTAGTTTTTAGGCTAACTAAATATTTTTCAGAAAACATCGAACAATGAAAATTTGCGAAGAATTTTATTGTAAAAAATGATATGTGATTTAAATTAATTTAGTGAAACTTACACTTCACACAAATCTCAATCACACATTGCTTTTTTGGGATATTTTTCTAATTAAATTTTTTGCATTCATAGTATTGTTGCTTATTTTTTATTTTTTTTTTTTAAAAAAAAATCTGCAGTTTGACCTTGTAACAAAATAAAATTGAGTTTTTAATTTTGTCAATTTACATCCTAATCTTTTGATTTATTTTCCATCTAAACTATCCACATATTTTCCTAAATTAAAACTGAAAGAAAAATGATATTTTAGATATTTTTCAAGTTTAATAATTAAAAAATATATATTTTTATTAATTTTACTTAGGGAAAACAAACAAATAATTTGAATTGAAAATAAATTTAAATTTTAGTACAATTCCTGAGAACCAATTAGCGTGTTTGGTTTTAGTTTTTTGAATTCAATTTTCTGAAAATTGAATTTTTTGTTTTTCGTATTTTTTTTTGTTTTGAGTGAATATTTTCAAAATTTTAAGTAATATTTTATTTTTTTAAATGCACTTTACTTACATGTATCTAAATAGTAAAATATTTATGAAAAAATATTTTTAAAAATTAATAAATACATAAAATATGAAAAATACACTGAATTTTTTTATATTTTTTTGTATTTTTTAAATTTAGTGAATTTTTTAGGTTTTTTGTTCACAAATATTATACTTTTTAAATGTATTTATGTTAGGTGTGTCTAAAAATAAAAATAAAAAATTACTTAAAATATTTAAAAAAATTCAGTGAAAACAAAAAAAATACAAAAAACGAAAAATGAAAAAATAAAATTTTTTCTTAAAAGTAAATTATGAAAACTGAAACCAAACATAGTGAATTTTATTTTATTTTTGTAATTTCCTTTTATTTTTTTGGATAATGTTTGAGAGCTCGAAACATTGCCCCCCCGAATCCCCCTAATGTCCAAAACGACGTCGTTTTGGGCATTAGGCTTTTTTTTTTTTCTTTTTTTTCTTCCATTTTCGACCATTTTCGATCTGAAACGCGCGCACACACACAGAGGCCGTTGCATTCCAGCCGATCCGTCGATCGTCGCAGCTCTGCCGATCGTCGGTCCGCTGTCTGCCTCCGCCGCCGCCGTCTGCCTCTGCTTCTTCTTCTTTCCTTCTTCTTCTCGATCTTCTTCCCTTCGTCTGCTTCTTCTTCTCTGATTGAACCAAAAATGGCGTCATTTTTAGTTTCGGGGGATTAGGGGGGCAATGTTTCGAGTTACGTAGCACGGTCCTATTTTTTTTACATTCTATCTATTGAATCTATGGGCCCATTTTATAACTACAAATTAGGCAACGTGGACAAATGAAAGGTGCTCATAGAGCTGTCTACCGTCTTTTTGTATACATCTCAATGAAGCCGGGAACATCAAATTTTAATTTAAAAACCAAAAAATCATTAAAAATTTAACAAGTTATACCCAATCAAAAAAGAATGGGGTCAAAAGGGTGAGGGGTAAAAGGGTCCAATCTTTATTCATATATATATATATATATATAAAAAGATAACTTATGTATATGCCAAACAAAGAAAACAATCTTTCTGGGGTTAACTTTCTATTATAGCAGCAATAACACTTTCCTGCCAAAAATCTCGAATCTTGATAACCAATCTTGTCAAATTAAGTTCGTGATTCAAACCCAACTCAACGTTGGACTGTTGAGAGAAAGAAAGGTATGAAAGCTCAATCCTTTTTCTCTTTCTCTTGCTTATCCACCACGTTATTGCTTTTTCTTTTTGTTCTTTGTTAATGTTTGAAATGGTTTTAAATTAGAACAGAAACTGTGTAATCTTGATGTTCAAATGAACTGTTAACTCTCTCAAGCAAATGGGTTTCTGTAGTTTTGTGTCTGTAAATTTGTTATCAGAGAGGTATTGTTCTTGCTTCAGTATCTATTACCATTTCTATCATTTGTATGGTTTTTCATATTTGTTTGTCTTTGGTTGAAATTATTGTTTTTCCTCTGTTCTTTGTTAATGTTCTGAAGTGGGTTTGATTTGGAACTGAAAATTTGTGATTCTTGATGCTCATATGCATTATTGCATAGTTGTCCTTGTCAAGATAGTGGGTTTCTGTAATTTGTGTCTGTAAATTTGTAATCAGATTGCGAGTGTTTCTATAATTTATTTGCCTTTTCACATTCTTAGGATGTACTTGGTTTTTGTTGGGTTTGCTGCCCAGTGCCTAGCAATCGAAGAAATCTTTTTATTTTTGTTCTTCTTTAATGTTTTGAAATTGGTTTGAATTAGAATTGAAATATTGAGATCTTGATTGATGTTCACATGCATAGTTGACCTATAAAGATAATGGGTTTTTGTAGTTTTGTGGTTGCAAATTTTGTTATTGGGATTGTTCTTGCTTTGGTCTTTATTGTTATTTCTATCATTTTCACATTTTTGCATAGTAGCCTTTCCCTGTTATTTCTATCATTTTCCCAGTTTCACATATAAGCTATATATACTTGAACAATCCAGTGGCAGCTCTTTATAGTGAATGAATTCCGACTTGCTTGAATGGATGGTTAGGAAGCAAGAGTTGGGGGTTTATGTTGAATCCAAAAGCTTTAGACTTGATAGTTGGGGATTTTATAAAAATGCAGGGGACTGCTGTTATCTGTTTTTCTCCCTGGTTGGAAGATGGTTGATGCAAGAAGAGCACAATATTAAATCTGGGTTTAGGGGCATTCTTGTTTCTTCGAGATGAGAATTTGTAGTGTAGAACTGCGAGCCAATTTCTCTCTTTTAAATTATTGGATTTGACTCATTGATTATATCATGTTGGTTAATGTTCAGTAATTAACCAGTATAATGGCAATATAAGTCAAAACACATTCATGAAGAGGTGGTCAAGGAAAGGGGTTGGTTGAAGAAAACTTTTTAGGTGAAATTTTCTAACAAGATGTGATGCTTAAACCTGCTTCCTTATAATAGTGATATAGTTTTTTCCAAATACAAGTCTGCCATCAATTCCCAGGGCGCAGCACTGGATAAGTGGTGCAAACTACCAAGCTAGAGTATGGTAGAGGTGGAGGAAATTTCCAGTGGAGCAGTGACGTGTGGAGATCGAAAATTACACCTCTGGCATCTTGTGTAACCTTAGTTGTTAGCTCCAGCCCACATGGAGGAGTTAATGAAGGTTGGCTCCAAGTCAAGAAGTAGGGGGGAAGAGGGCAAGTTGCAGACCAGCTTCTGAAGGTTTAGAGAAGAGAAAAAGTTAGGAAATGAGTTAGACTTCATTTCCTTTTATATTAATAATACTGAGTAATTATAGGAGTGCCACAAGGCATAATATATAGGCCAGCCCATTACACCAATCAAGAGAATAAATAAGAAGAAAACACAATCATTTATTTCCTATTCTAATTTGTTTCCTATTCTAACACTCTCCCTCAAGCTAGTGCGAAGATATCTCTCATGCCCAGCTTGTTGAGAATACCATGAAATGGTTTGCTTCCTAGCATCTTGGCGAGAACATCGGCTAGTTGGTCTCTGGTCTTCACAAATGGAATACACATGATGCCACTAGTGAGTTTTTCCTTGATGAAGTGCCTATCAATCTCCACATGCTTAGTTCTATCATGTTGAATTGGATTATAGTCGTATGGAGTTAGTCTAATGGATTCCCAAGTCTCCCGACAATAGTTTAATCTTTAGTAACTCACATACACCCTGAGCCATAGTCCTGAATTTTGCCTCAGCACTAGATCTAGCCACCACATTATGTTTCTTACTGCGCTATGTGACTAGGTTGCCACCAACAAATGTGCAGTATCCGGAAGTTGATCGTCTGTCAATGACTGACCCAGCCCAATTTGCATCAGTAAATGTCTCCACACTGAGATGGCCATGTTTTGAGAAATAAAGACCCTTTCCAGGAGAAGATTTTAGGTATCTCAAGATTCTCATAACTGCCTCCAAGTGGGAAGTTATAGGAGCATGCATAAACTGGCTCACCATGCTCACGGCAATGGCAATATCTAGACGTGAGTGGGATAAGTATATAAGTTTGCCCACTAGTCTCTAGTATCTCCCCTTGTCCACTGGATCTCCCTCTTGATCCTCACTCAGTTTCTGGCCCAGTTCTAGAGGTGTATCACATGGTTTACCTCCAAGCATTCCAGTTTCCTTTAGCAAGTCAAGTACATACTTTCTCTGGCATATGAAGATGTCATCCTTGGACCGGGTTACTTCAATGCCCAAAAAATACTTCAAATAGCCTAAGTCTTTGACTTCAAACTCTTTTGCTAAGTATTCTTTCAAACGAGGAAATCTCCTTAACATCATTTCCTGTCAGAACAATATCATCAACATAGACAATAAGAGCTGTAGTCTTACTATGTGAGGAGTGTTTCATAAACAAAGTGTGATCAGCTTGACTTTGCTTGAACCCATATTTCAACATAGCTTGAGCAAACCTTTCAAACCAAGTCCTAGGAAACTGCTTTAGCCCATAAAGTGACTTTTGGAGTGTGCATGCTTTATCGTTGGATTAGCACCTACAAAATCAGGAGGAATATCTATATAGACCTTTTCTGCTAGGTCTTCATGAAGGAATGCATTCTTCACATCAAACTGATGAAGTAACCAATCCAAATTTGCAGCAAGAGAGTAAGATTTTCACAGAATTCATCTTAGCAACTAGTTCAAATGTCTCCTGGTAATCCACCTCATAAGTCTGAGTGAAGCCCTTAGCAACCAGTCTTACTTTGTATCATTCTATGGAACCATCTGCTTGTGTTTTACCGTGCACACCCACTTACACCCAACTAGATTTTTGCCTTTAGGTAATTTCACTAACTCCCAATTGCCACTCTTGCTGAGAGCTCTTATCTCTTCCATCATGACATGTTTCCATTCAGGAATAGAGAGAGTATCCTAAAAATTGTTAGGTAGACTCACAGAAGACACTTTAGACAGAAAAGCTTTATATGAGGAAGAAAGATGAGAATAAGAGACATGATTGCTAATAGGATGTTAAGTACATGATCTAACCCCTTTCTATTAGCAATGGGAACATCTAGATCTGAAAAATCAAGAATAGAAGCACTAGAATCAGAATTACCAGGACTCTCCAGATTGGGGGGTGACTTTGGACGCTCATCCGGAGAAGAAGTTGGCAGTAGAGGAAGGAAAGTAGGCTCTTGCTGTAAGCTTTCTGAATGTTTTCTGTGTATTCAACTTGTCATCTTACTACAAGAATACATTGGTTTATATAACAATCTAACCCTAGAACAAAAAAAGGAAATACGACTTATTTTAATATACAAAATATATATACTACTATTTATACATAAAATTCCTAATATATTCTTACTCCCCTGCTCAAACTCAAGGTGTTTTAGCAGAAAACACTGAGAGTTTGCCAAGAAAAAACTGAAACCGAGCAGTGGTGTGAGTCTTAGTGAAGAAGTCAGCAAGTTACAGAGCCGAAGAGATGAAAAGAAGTGAAATAGTGCCAGACTGCAGATGCTGATGGGCAAAGTGACAATCAATCTCAATATGCTTCGTTCGCTCATGGAAGACAGTGTTATGGGTAATCTGAATAGCACTACGGTTGTCGTAATAGAGAGAGGTCGGAGAAGACTGAGGGACACCTAAATCAGAGAGAAGACAACGAAGCAAAACAATCTCTGCAGTAGCATGAGCCATAGCACGGTACTCAGCTTCGGCAGTAGAGCGAGCAACAACAGTTTGTTTCTTGCTTTTCTAAGAGATCAAGGAATTGCCAAGAAATATACAGAAACCAGACGTGGACTTGCGATCAGTAACATCACCAGCCCAATCAAAATCAGCATAGGCCACTAAATCCAGATGGGAAGTAGAGGATAATAGTAAACCCTGAAATACAATACTGCGGAGATAGCGAAGAATCCGAACCAATGTAGCCCAATGTGTGGAGCGAGGAGCAGAAACAAACTGGCTAACCACATGAACATCATAGGCAAGATCGGGACGAGTAACCGTCAGATAAACTAAACAACCCACAAGCTTGCGATATAAAGTGGGATCATCCAGAGGGATACCATCAGTAGAGTTGAGCTTCACATTAAGCTCAATAGGTGTATTAGAAACCTTAGTATCGCTAAGACCAACACGATGAATGACCTCATTAGCATACTTAGCTTCAGACAGAAAATAGTCCTTTGGAGAAAAAGTAACCACAATACCAAGAAAATACCGCGATGGACCAAAATCTTTCATTTCAAAGCTGCGGAAGAGATGCTGCTTGACCTCAGAGATAGCAGAAGAGTCAGAGCCAGTGATGATCATATCATTCACATAGAGTAAGAGAGCAACAAAACCAGCGGGCTACGTCTCAGAAACAAACAAAGTCGGAAGCAGAAGAATGAAACTCAAGCTCAGTAACAGCAGTCTGAAAGCGATTATACTAAGCACGAGGAGATTGCTTCAAACCATACAGAGCATGCCGAAGACGACAAAACTGTCCAGAGGAATGGTGAAGGCCAGGGGGAGGATGCATGTAAACCTCCTCAGCGAGATGACCATTAAGAAAAACATTCTTAACATCCATTTGATAAAAAGGCCAATGGCGAATAGCTACGACAGATATCAAAGTACGGATAGTAGTCATATTGGTAACAGGGGCAAATGTTTCTTCATAATCAATACTATACTCCTGTGAAAAACCCTTGGCAACTAGACGAGCTTTGTAG